GGGAAGGAGGGAGGGAGAGAGGGGGGTTTGTAGCACAGCTTTAAATGGGATATCTCTATCAAATCCTCTCCTCAGAACTCAGGGAACCCTGAAGCAGGGGTGACAGAAGGGTCAGAGGACAGCAGGAGAATGAGTTCCTCTAAAACTTCTGAGGACTCTGAAATCAGAGGAACTGCAGCAGCCAGCAGTCATGGCCTACCTGGGCCTACGATCAGGTCCTCTACATATACACAAGTTTTCAGTTGAGTGCTTTTATGGAATTCTCGAATGTGTGAGCAAGTGGATCTCTGATTCTTTTGCCTCCTTGGGGATTTTTTATTTTTCTATTTTCTTGTCTTGTACCACTTGGATGTGATGATGGTTTCTGTTTACTATAATCTATTTTGTTATCTTCTAGAAGGCTGATCTTTTCTAGTGAGAGATGTAAATGGAGTAGATCCATTTACATGGGACGGGGGTGGGAGGGAGGCGGGGAGGAGCTGGGAGGAGCGGAGGGAGGGAAGCTGTATCCAGATGTCACTGTGTGAGAAAAGAGTCAGTGTTTAATAAAAGGGGAACTACGAAAAACGTGTACTGTTGCCAACCATGTGAATGGGAATTAAAACCACACTGAGATTCCATCTCGCGCAACTCAGATGGGCTACCACTGAGGTGTAGACAACCAAAACTGCTGACAGGGATGCAGACGAAAAGGAACCTTTAGATATTGTTGGTGGAAATGTAAGTTAGTCTAGTCGCTAAGGAGAACATCATGGAAGCTCCTCAGAAAACTAGACTGTAAATTACTGCATGATCCAGCTGAGCCGCTTGTGGGTGTACAGCCAGAGGAGCCAAAGCCAGCATGCAAGAGCTTCCTGCCGTCTAGCGCGGTTCCCATTACAGTTACAGTTACAGCTACTATTCCTATCGCTGCAGCACTATCTACAATAGACAAATTATGGGTTTAGCCTACGTGGTTATCTATCAAGAAACAGGGAAAAAAACCCATTGTATATGTGTGTGTCTGCGTGTGTCTTCGTGTGTGTGTGTGACATACATACATATACACATACACACATATACATATATGGCAGGATTTTCCCTGTCCAATTAATTTAAATATTAGTTCAGCAGGAGACTTGCGATTGGACAGGGGAAAAGAGAGGCGGAGCTAAGAGTTGCAGATACAGGAAGCAAGACAGGAGAGGAGAGGAGAAGCAAAATGGAGGATGAACAGGAAGATTCAGATTCTGCGTGGCTTTAAATAGCCACAGGTAGTTATGAATCTAATATAAGGATAGTAGTTGGGGTAAGTTGTGTAGTCTGGGTGGGCAGCTTGTACAATTATCTATTGGCTTTGAAATTATTGTGTGGGAATCTTGTGAATTGAGAATGTATCGATATATAAATCTGACTGATTGATTATAAGCTTCTAGAGTTTTGTTTTACTGGGTTACTGGAATGGGGGACCACCAACCACAGGGGGTTTATGGCTGAGAAGGTACAGGCGGCACTGAGACAAGCGAACCGGAGCTGGGAAGACCACGATCGATCAGTTACTGTGGGGGCTAGCTTAGAGACAGAGGCGGGCAGAGAGTAGCTGTGTGTAGCGAGGGAACTTGCCATTCTTTTTCCTGCCATAAAGAATGAAATTATGTCATTTGCAAGAAAAACCAGGACTCATCATCATGCTGAGTGAAATAAGCTACACTCGGGAAGGAAAACAAGGCATAGTTTCTTTCATATGTGGAATCTGGATTAAAAATCCAATCAGCCCTGAAACGTGGGTGACTGTTGAGGGAAAGAGGACCAGTGGGGGCGGTGTGGAGTGAGGGCACATGGGGGAGTGTGTGCACACGTGAAAACGTAAAGACAAAACCCATTGTTCTTTGTAATTAATTGCACCAATTGTAATGAACATATTTTAAAACTTTGAGTAATTCTGAAAACAGTTATTTTTAGCTATTTCCTCCAGATCACAGGAACGTAAAGAACCTTAATTCTCTCGCCATCTGCTCTCCTTGCTATCATGTAATTAGAGTAGAGTTTAAACGTGTCCCATGGTGATGACCACACTGGGCCATTACCTCCTCCTCCTCTTGTTCTTCTTCCTCTTCTTCCTCTTCAGATTTTCCTTCCTTGGGGACGTCCTTCTTCTTTGTCCTGCGACTCTCTATGATTTCTGGGTCCCACTGGTCTCTGGTGTAAATATAGCCTGTAGTACTGTGCTGCCGTTGCCCAGAAATTCTTTGGCATAAATCGTAGTCGCTGCACTAAGAAACATTATTAAATCATTTAAGACATTTGATTTCCTAGGAAGGCAGGCTCACATTAAGCCAAGCTAGAGATATAGGCAGAATAATTGTCCCTTTAATGTGATACTGTGCTTTCCCTCTCAGAATTCTCACCCTACAGTGTAGTCTCTTATGAAACCTCACACATGAAGCTTTGTAAGTCTGTCCATTTTTACGAATTGCTCAGAAAAGTGTAACTTCTCTTTGTTTATTTTTAAAAATTATTTATCATTATTTGTTATGTGTATGGGTGTTTTGCCTACATATATGTCTGTGCTCCACATATGTGCCTGGTTGCCCAGAGAGGGCGTCAGATTCCCTGTAACTAGAGGTTGTAAGCCACCATGCGGGTGCTGGGAATTGAACCCAGGTCCTCTAGCACAACAGCAGCTCCTCTTACCCACTGAGCCATCTCTCCAGCCCCTCTACCTCTTCTCTAAGCATGATTTCTCTAGCACTTTGGGCCTCACTCCTCCTTGAATAAACTGTCTTTGCCTGACTTTGAATTTTTTTAACAAATTTTTGTTTCCTGTTTCATCTTATCCACTAGATACATTTTTTTTTCTTTAAATTTAAGCAATTTGCAATACATGGCAAATTTCAGTCTGTGATGTGCCTGTCAGGCAACAGTTTTATTTGTCTGAAATTAATACATATGAGATTATCAGACATTTTAAGTGGAAGAAAGAGGGCTAGCAGAGCACTGAAGGGAATAAAAAAATAGAACAAAAACCAGTTTCATCTGCAAAGCTTCAGGGGGATTTTTATCATTTTAGCTTAGAGAGGCTGAGAAGGAAGGAAAATGAGGGCGAAATCCGTGTATCTCCTACCAAAATACTGACAAATATTTGCCATATTTATTATCACTTGATGGATAAAACATTTCATGAAATTCAGAAATGGGGCCTGAAAGCTCATATTATCTAGCCCTTAAATTCTGCAAATGGAGAGCTTGCCCCACATGGTAACCAGAGCGCAAACCAAAGCGTAGTGAACCAAACCGTCTCCTCGACATTCTCTCCTGTGCATGCGCTTGCTCAGCTCTCAGGCTGGCTAAAGGGAACCTGACAGACACTACTCAGGTAGCTTGTGTACAGAGACCAGGACCACTGGCTAAGGGATGGTGCTACCCATTGTGGGCGGGGCCCTCCTGCATCAGTTGCTATAATGCCCCACAGACATGCTCAAAGGCTAAGCTGAGCAGGGTAAATTCCTCAATGGAGGGCCCAGCTTTCACTTCAGTGGTGACTCTGCTTTGTGCAAAAGCTGAAAATAAAAGCCAATCAGTGAAGACTGTACCCAGAACTGTAAAATGAACATTTTCTCCCTAGGCTGGCTTTTGCCAGGGTATTTTATCACAGCTGAGATAAAACCAGGAAAATTAGGGCCAAGTTCAATACTCTAACTTAGTAAATATTTGTTCTTTTGGCCTGTGTCTTCTCTTTTCACCAAGTTCTAATTTCCTGTGTAATCTGCTTTTTACTTCCTTGGACACTATATTTGGTTTTAGCTAACTTACCTTCCTCCTCTGTTAGCAAATATTACTATGTGGGACATTCTTGAATTTGATCAGATTTTTTTTTAAAACAATGTATTTATTTTTATTTTATGTGCAATGATGTTATGCTTGCAGGTATGTCTGTGAGAGACTGTTGAATCCCCTGGAACTGGAGTTACAGACAATAACTGTCATGTGGTTGCTGGGAATTGAACTTGGGTCCTCTGGAAGAGCAGCCAGTGCTCTTAACCACTAAGTCATCTCTTCAGCCCCAAGACTGTTATTTTTTAATTTGGTCTTAGTACATATCCCAGGCTTGACTTCAAACTCTTGCTTCTTCAGCTTAAGCTGCCTGTGTGCTAAGATGCTCGGCCACACATCACCACACCTGTCCTGCTCAGGATTTTGATTTGTTCCTGTGTCTGCACTCAGCACGAGGGGGCTTCCCCTCTCACAGCTGACCCTGACACAGCCTCACCGTGAGAGCTGAGAACTAAATATTTTGAGCTGCCATAAACCCTTTGAGGAGCCAGGTATCTGAACACCTAAGCTTGTCACCCATTTTCATACAAACAAGTAGGCAGAGTCCTATCAAGTTATGACCACATCCCCACCAGACAGTTGTCACCTTTGCGAGAAGGAAATAGAGGCATCTAAACGCGGTCTGTCCAATTCTAGACATATAAAAAGGGGCGTTGAAAGTAAGACCCAGTCCTGACATGGCCGATGCCATGTGGTGTCCCTTGACGTTTCTACATTTGAGTCATTTGCCTACTCTTTTATTTAGTCACTAAAGTCATTAGGAGCGATAAGGTACCATACGGTGTACACAGTGGTGCCTGGGTGAGCAGCTGCGGTTTGGGAGTTTGAAACGGAAATGAATAACTATAACAGAGAGGTGAGTGAGTCAGCAGAGGAGAGACAGGAGAGGCTCCTAGAGAAGCAATGAAGTAAGGCTGGGGGGGGAGGGGTCACGGAGGAGGGGCCATGGGGGAGGGGCCATGGGGGAGGGTTGTGGGGGAAGGAGCTGTGGGGGAGGGGCTGCGGGGGAGGGGCTGTCAGGGCAAGTTCTGCCTTACAAATTAGGATTTATGATTAAGTTATGTTAGTTATGATTAAGTCTGGCGGTGGGGCAAGGAAGTGTTTCCCGTGGATGGAGCTTTAGACGCAAAAGCACAGAAGTGTGACACATACATTACTGCTTCCAAAACGACTCAGCAAGCATAAAACTGTGGACCAGAGACATGGCTTGGTGCTGAAGAGCACGCACTGCTTCTGCAGAGGGCCTGAGTTCAAGTCTCAGTGGCCAAGTCGGGTGGCTCACAGTTTTTTGGAGCGCCAGCATTGGAGGGAGGGTGTTGGTGCCCTCTTCTGGCCTTCTTAATGTTAGAGCTGAGATAAAATATTAGGCCTAAATTACCTGGCTAGCCCGCCATGATAAGAAAATGTTCTCATATGTTTCTGTCGATACTAGGACCCTGAGTTAAGATCATACAGGGTTTTTAAGCCCCACATCTTCAAACATCTCTGCCAAGTTACTTTACCAATCAGGATTTAGGGATGGGAAACGTTCTAATGCCAAGATTGATTACATATTCTGTTACGTTCTGCGCCTTTGGAAACCAATCACGATAGCAGTCAGTAGAACTGTTTTTGCATAGTTACCCACAAGAAGCATGCACCTAAACCAACCACCTAACAGCACTTCCTGCACCTATGTGTAAGTTTTTATGGCATAAACTGTCCCTGGGATGGACCCCAACATAAGAGAGACCTACATCAATATAAGAAACTATTTGGAATAAGACTTTGAGTAGTGGTCAAGTACAGGTTAGGTTCCCAAGACCTCCCTGGGAACTGGCATCCTACTTAGCAGAAAGAGACATGTACATGGGTAACTGACATCCTGGTTGGCAAGTTAAGACATGAATGTTAGACAAGGCAAGTCTCCTGCCATAAAACAAATATATTTTTTAAGCCTGAAAATATTTCTTATAACTTAAACTCTGTGAAAAACAAAGATTTCCTGTCCCAGGAAGCAATTAATAGCTTTACCTTAATATTGATTATGATATCGGGTTGCAATTCTAAGTTTTTAACAAATTCTATTTGCTTCAAAGCGGTCATGCTATCTTGTGAGAGTGACGGCATTTCAGTGATGATGTAGCCTGTAAAATATAAGTTGACAATTTGCAATATCATTATGTGAGGGCATGGCTTTGTCATAGCTATTTTATAAAATACTATATAGCTACTAACGAGGATGATTCACAAAATTATGTCACAAATTTAAAGTCAATTAGTTAATAGTTGTTACTATATGAAGTATAGCTATGAATAATGTTTTCTGATTAAAAAAAATGATCAAGCTAAGAGGAAACGTCTATAAAAATTCTAAGCCAGGGAAGATGGCGCAGTGGGGAAGGGTATTTGTCACAAGACCAATGACCTGAGTTCAGTTCCCCAGGATTTGCTTACTAAAGGGAGAGAACCCACCTTCTTGAGTTTTCCTCTGACTTCCATATGTATACCATAGCATATGTGTGCGCCTCCCTGCCCATAATAATACATGCTCTAGATTCTTTAAAAATCTAAGTTTAGTTTAGATGAGACAGTTATAGAAAGAAACTGCATGCTAATATTTCTTTTAAGTGGTTAGAAACAGTCTTACAACCTTTTATGTGACCTATTATTCCCATCCTTAAATTAGAACCAGATAACACAGTCAAACACATGTAAGTGCTACCTATGTAAACTATAGAGACTGATGAAGCATCCAGGTACCCGCTGTATAGCGTAATGGAGTACAGTAGGATTTTGGATACAGACTGTATAAGATTTGGGCTTAGAACACCTATTGGCTTGCATCTCACTCAGAAGCCTAAGTTTTCTCATTAAATGTGTCTTGGGCACCACTGTCATAATGATTTTCTTAATACATTTTAAAACTATGTCACTTGGTTGCCCAAGAAACATTTCTCTTACTAGTGAAATAAGCCTCCATTCCTCAGCTAAAGGCCTCTGTCTTAGTTATAGCTTTATTGCTGTAAAGAGACACCGTGACCACGGTAACTCTTAGATGGGAAAACATTTTACTGGGGCTGGCTTAGAGTTCAGACGTTTAGTATGTTATCATCATGGTGGGAAACATAGCGGCATCCAGGCAGACATGGTGCTGGAGGAATGGAGAGTCCTACATCTGGATTCACAGGCAGCAGCAGGAGACTGCCACACTAACCCTAGCTTGAGCCTAGGGAACCTCAAAGTCTGCCCCCACAGTGACACACTTCCTTGAACAAGGCCACACCTCCTAATAGTGCCACTCCTTATGGGCCATGCATTCAAACACAGGAGTCTATGGGGGCCATACCTGTTCAAATCATCACAGACTTCAATATATTTCTCTGCTATTTTCATCCCTCCTGCTTTGAGAAACAATTGCAAACTATGTTTCAGTCTTTAGAATTTAGCCAAAAAAAAAAAAATTGTAAGAAGTGTATGCAGTGAGCTAGCTACCTCAAGACAAATGATACTATCTGGTGCTGTATTCTGGATTTGCTTTGATAAAGTTGGTTTTTTTTTTTTTACTGTACCGTATTTAATTTTTAATTTCTATATTCTGATGTAGCTTTTTAGATTTTGGTCCTGAGAACTGACCTAGGGCTTTAAATAAGCTAGGCAAGTGCTCTACCCCCAGTTACATCTGCAACCCCAACCCTCAAGAGTCCTCACAGTTAAAGTTTTCCCTTAACTCTTTTCGGGAATCTTCCTTCTTTCACTCAATAAATCTGTTTCAAGCGATGTCTTTCTCCCAAGGGCATGGTAATGCTTCTTCCCCGTTTTTTGCAATTATCTTAGAGTGTTGGTCTTTTCTTCTTAGTTGCCCTAGCTTCTGTTGTCTTGTCTGAAAGAATTAGAGAAAGCAAGGCCCTTGCTCAGAATCCTTTTGCGCAGGGAGAGACTTTTTGAGTGTGTAACCAGTGAGCAGGCTAGGGGACAGCTCTGGCGATGTGTAGCCTCAGGGGAAGCTGTTCTAGCTTGCGGAGACTGACTGCCTACCGTCCAGGGTGACAGGAGAGCAGTGGATAGAAACTAGAGGCATCACATCATGTAGCAGAGCGGTAAACAACTCTGGGTGTTTTTAAAAATAACTGTGAACATTAGAGGATTAAACCCAAAAGACGGCCCTTGAATCTATCTAGGGCTGTGGGAAGAGGGGAAGGCACATGTGTGCGCGTGCGCACATACCGAAGTGAGCAACTTCTGGAGACTTGATCTTCTCCAGGATCAACTTTGTGACCAGCTCGTCTGGGACACTGTGACCGCTCACCAGCAGTGACTGCAGCTAGAACAAGCACAGATGTTATGCGTTACAGTAACTCTCTATCTGGGATTCACAATTTTGGGGGGAATCGTAGTACCTTTGAAATGTAGATTTGCTCACCATAGCTCCGGTTTCACTCTCAGCCGCAATGTGCTCTTCCAAAACCGACAAAGCTAAAACATGGGTTCAAATATGAGTGCAAGCTGACACTTGGAATGCTGAAGTAAGAAATGTTTTCTGGATGTTTGGTAACTGGTAAGCAAGGATTAGTGTCGGGGTGTCACCTGGGAATTTGCTAAGCATGTTTATGCATGTTACAACGTTTAAGGTTGGTCAAAGCAGGCAATCGACTGTTCTGCAGAGAGCCTGTGTTGGCCACTCCACCAACTCAGCAATCTTAGTGGAGTTACTCCCTAACCCCCATAGCGCCTCGGAGGCAGTAGACAGGAGAAGGAGGAAAGCTGTCATGGTGGTGACAGTTGTAAATTGTCTTGCATCACACAAAAGTATACAGCAGTGTTATCAGCCTAGATCTTTTTATGTCCTAGTCAAAGGAAGAATTCTGCTGGGCTGGAGAGATGGCTCAGTGGTTAAGAGCACTGCCTCTTCTTCAGAAGGTCCTGAGTTCAATTTCCAGCAACCACATGGTGGCTCACAACCACCTATTTGATTTGATCCCACTTCCGGCATGCAGAAGTCTATGTGTATGTCAGAGCACTCATATAATGTACACAGATGAATACATTTCAATAATAAAAAAGGAACCTGGGAATTCCAGGAATATGCCATTCTCTGATGGAAGAGAACCCAGTGGAATGGTGGGACACCATCCTTTAAGACTTCCTTTTTTTGTTTTTTGTTTTTTTTTTTGTTTTTGTTTTTTTTGTTTTTTGAGACAGGGTTTCTCTGTGTAGCCCTGGCTGTCCTGGAACTCACTCTGTAGACCAGGCTGGCCTCGAACTCTCGAACTCAGAAATCCACCTGCCTCTTCCTCCCAAGTGCTGGGATTAAAGGTGTGCGCCACCACCGCCTGGCCCTTTAAGACTTCCTAAAATAAACTTTTTAACTAAAAAAAATAAAAACGGCTAGAGAGGTGGCCAGTGGTTGCTCTTGTAGAGGACCCACATGGTGGCTCAGAGCCATCTGTAACTCCAGTTCCGGAGGATCCTAGCCCTCTTCTGGCCTCCTCAGGCACTAGCGCACGAGCGGTGCACGGACTTTGTCACATCTCCTTCTTCACTCATCTGCCCACCTGATGAACGCTAACTTTCTAATAGCACCAACCCAGACGTGTTTATTAAATGTGTTTGGCCCTGCCTTTCCTCAAAACCTCTATGGGCCACCTCTACAGCTTTTTTTTTCTTTTTTTTAGGAAGTCTTAAAGAATGGGGTCAGGCTCCCGCCATTCCTCTGGGCTCCCTTCCATCAGGCGAAACACCCATACATATAAAATAGAAATAAATCTTTTCCTAAAAGGGGAGCACTTCAGAGTTCTAGGTGAGTGTGTTCCAAGTTACCAGACTGTTCTCCACATACATACAAGCAACACACACATACATACAACATACATACAAAAACTTGGGCATCTCAGTTACACTGATGGTATACAGAATGCCCATTTCATAACATCCTCACTAACAATGACTACAGTTATTTCAGTGAGGTTAGTGCCTCACCAACTTGTTAGGCAAATATGAATCAGTGCCGATTATTTTTAATGATATGAGATTATTTTTTTCTTTTCTTATATTGTTTAGATTTGGTTCTACTTTTATGAGTGCTGTGTGTGCATGTGTGTGCATGCTGTGTGTATACCTGTGTGTGTATGTGTGTGTACTGTATGTATGTATGTATGTATGTATGCACACACGTGTATATGCGAGCACATGGAATGTGGACGCCAGAGATCGGTCTCAGGTCCTAGTCATCAGGATCCACCCACCTTGTAGGCGGGACCTGCAGCTCTCCAGCCAATTAGGTGAGGCTGGCTGGCCAGTGAGCTCTGGGTATCCTCCTGCCTCTGCCTACCCAGCACAGGATCATAAGCATGTGCCACCACACCTGGCTTGTGGTGTGCATGGATGCTGGGATTGGAACTCAGATCCCCACACTTGTGTGCTTGTGTGACAAGCACTCTACTGACCGAGCCATCTCCTCACTGCCTTCTGTGATGAGTTTCCTATTTATTCTTTCTTTACTTTTCTATTAGGAAATAAATAGCTTCTGATTAGAAGGGCGTGTGTGTGTGTGGTGTGTTTCTGTGTGTGTGGCATCTGTGTGTGTCTGTGTGTGTGTTGTATGTGTGTCTGTGTGTGATGTGTGTTTGTGTCTGTGTGTCTGTGTGTGTGCGTGCACACACCCACATGAGTCTGCTGTCGTACATGTTGCAGAAAATGTAAGGAAATCTATAAGTTAAAAATACAACTTTTTAGCTGGGCAGTGGTGGCACACGCCTTTAATCCCAGCACTTGGGAGGCTGAGGCAGGTGGATTTCTGAGTTTGAGGCCAGCCTGGTCTACAGACTGAGTTCCAGGACAGCCAGGACTACACAGAAAAACCCTGTCTTGGAAAACAAACAAACAAACAAACAAAAAAAACAAAAAAAAAGAAAAGAAGAGAAAAGAAGAAGAAGAAGAAGAAGAAGAAGAAGAAGATGCTCTCACACACACAGAAAATTTCTGATGGAAATAGAGGTTTAGAGGAAAGGCAGAGCCAAGCACAGTTAATAAACATGGCTGGGTTGGTGCTATTGGCAAGTTAGTATTCATCAGGTTAATATTCATCAGATGTGTGAAGAAGGAAACATGACAAAATCTAAACTATGGACTCTCAGATGGCTGTTCATCATACATTCATCATGCAGCTCTATTTTATATGAGTCTTTAACATTATTAATAATAAAATATTGAGAAAAAATTAAATTTACCTTCAACACGAATACATTTCCATGCCTGTGCTATGTTACGGGCTAATGTTGTCTTCCCAGCCCCCTTTAAAAGAGAAATGCTATTTAAAATACAGCAAAATGTTCATTCCATGGTTAAGCACAGGCACCAACTTACGAAATTCCACTGATGGTTGTTATTACATAAATATTTACCTATAAAATGAACGGAGCCCTACATATTTAGAACTTTATTTTCTCCACCAATTCTTACATATATTTCTACATATCCTGAAAGTACATCATCATTTAAGGAAATTAGAAAAGTATACTTGAAATTAGGAAGCTATATTTATAATCTTAATTATAAGCCATTATAAAATATATCAGTTTTGTCATTTTATTTTCTTTCTAGAAGAAAATGAAAATTTTGGTGACTTCCATTTAAATCATTTTCTTTCTTCCCTCTTCTTTTTGCAGGACTGGGCTTTGACATAGTGCGCCTCTGTAGGTGAGAACTGGGCTTTG